AGTTCTTGGTCCAGTATACTAGTTTGGGTGAGCTAAATGGAATTGAAATGAGATTACCATAGATGATGTTTTCACTTATATGGTAGCTATCGACATAAATAAAAAGCAACGATATCGAACCATGTTCCGTTGATTAAGTGACAACGTAGAACTAATTGGACAACTAAAGTTACAATCTAGGTCAAATTCCTTACCAAAGTGTGTTTTGGACCTTTTGTTCCTACACTGCCCAAGGTAGCACTGTCATGTTACAAGTGGGAAATGAAGCGTTATGAGATGAATGAAATATTGCGATATGATACATGCCTTACGGCGTAAGGTTTTTCTTAAAACGTCCTGTGATTGATAGCAACACTATGAAATGTGCTTAGTGTTTTCTCCATGGGGATATAGATACGGAGAGATACATGTAAGTTCCCGAAGAATTACATAGACTGGTTCAAATAGTTCCAAACCACGGAACACCCTCTTAACTTGTTTGAGGCATTCACTTAAAATTCGACGAACGTGGTATACCCGTCTAAGTGATTATTTGATTAGTCAGGGATATGAATGAAAGCCCTTACATGTTAAACTATGAAGTCTTATTCTGAATTGCTAGAGTTACAGTTTATGTATTTGACATGAATCTCACTAAGACTCTAGAAGAGCTTAAGAAAACTGCCTCGCACCTGAAGATGGAATTTGAGATGACGGATCTTAGGAAAACTCGTTTATGCCTTGACCTAAAGTTCAAGCATTGTTCTAATGGTACATTAGTCTACTAGTCGAACTACATCCCGAATGTGTTACCTTTGATTATACCCATGTTCTTCCATACGTTATATGCAAATGAGACATTTGAAGAGGTTATGGAATCCAAAATTCCATATCTAAATTCAACTTTGTGCTTCGTTGTACTTAAGCTCATTGTATTAAGATAGGACATCTCTTTTGCTGTTGATCTATCAGTAAAGATGCAGCACCACGCCTAAACGCAACCACTGAATTGGTATTAAAGACGTACCATGAAGGTACTACAAATTTGGGCAAATCAAATCCCAACGTATCTCGAGCGGATCCAACCCCCTAATCCTCGTAATGATAGTTGCCTTGTTTATTATGCTGAAGATGGTTACTTATCAGACCCGCAAAAGGAAAAATCCTCAAATGGTTATGTTTTTACCATTAGGGATATCGCAATATCTAAGAAGTCCACGATATAACCTTAGTTGTGAAATCTTCGAATCGTTCCAAGACTTACTTCATTATGCCATAAGTGAGACATGCTTAGGAGTTCTTGTTAAGCATATTTCGAAGCACTTGCCATTTTTCATTCATCGTTGAGTCCCAACGACGATCCATGAAGATTATGTTGTATGTATCCACCCAACCAAGACATGATACATCAACGAAGTCAACGACAAGACATATTGCGTCTGCATCTACATCAGCAAAGCATCAGGAGATTGAAGTCATGCAAGCTGATCCCAGACAACCTTATCGACCTCTACACCAAGTCACTGTCGAAGTCAACCTTCCCAAAGCTTGTCTAAGGAATTAGTATATCTACCTATCATATGCAATAGGGGTGGGCAAACGAGCCATAAGCCAGCAGGTAGGGGCAAGTATTAGCGGTTCAGGGCGAGTATAGGGCGAGTCCATATTATTTTACATACAAAATAGGGCAAGATGGGTCCAAGTAAACATAGGGGGCGGATCCAGTTTTCTAAATACACGGGTCCCTGGCCCGAACCGTATCCCGTAAACACACACTCAAATCACACACACACACACACACACACAGAGTATCCTAGTCTTCTCGATCTTTCCTCCCAAGTCCCAGCTCTTCTCATTTCACTCAGTCTCAGAGCTAGATTTCTCATCCTAACTCCACCTCGTTCTCAAATCGTTCTCCAATCCCCTGGCATTTCCATTGAGCCAAATATCCTTCATCCGCTCAAGAGACCAACACAGAAGACAGAACCATGTCATTGTTCTTGTACACCTCGAATTCAACCTCACCGTTGACCTTCACGTTGTCGGTGCTAACGTACATCACCTTTGAAGACTCATTATCGACCCGATCGCGGCGAAGCATGAGCAACCGAGTCTGACGTCAAAACTGAGTCTCGTTGATTTCAAGCGATACCCCAATCTTGCATCAGAGGTGGTGAAGTGTGAGGTGGTTGGGAACGCTCCCAAGCATCTCCTCTGTCTGACTTGGACCCATATTTGCAGAGCACGACTCTGCTTATTGTCCTCTTCAGTTTTAAGGTATTACATTTTAGGGATTTAGGATTGAAAATTAAATTAGGGTTTTCTAGATTTAGGGATTTTGTTGGGTTCTTGAACCTTGACCTTTGTTATGTTCCAATTTTTGAATTGAATTTGAATCGACTAACTTTGAAACTTCTGTTAAATTAAATTGAATTTGAATCGATTGTGTGTGTGTGTGTGTGTGTGTGTGTGTGAGCTGACTTTGAAACTTCTGTTAAATTAAATTGAACTTGAATCGATTGTGTGTGTGAGTATTTGTGTGTGTGTGTGTGTGTGTGTGTGTGTGTAAGAATTGATGTACTGAATATATATATATATATATATATATATATATATATGTATGTATGTATGTAAGAATTGATGTGCAGTGCAACCTCAGTATTAAAAAACAACTCCTGTAATTTTCAAATTTGTTGTTTAATTTGATTGTTATAATTTGGATTTGTTAATCTATCACAACCCTACCTGACTACTCTGTTCTTTCCGACATCTCCTAGAACGATTGTGATTCGAGAGAGCTAAAGAAGAAAGGAAGATAAAAAATAAAATAAAAAATAAATAAATAAATAAATAAATAAAGGACCCATGGACCCGGCCCGTTTCAAACAGGTCGAGTTAGGTCCGGTTCTTGTATTAGAATTTGTTGGACCCGCCCCGGTCTGGCCTGTGCCTAGCCCTAATATGCAATGCTTGTAGTTCTTATTTGGAAGTTATGTCAAACTCAAGGGGAGTATCCAGAAGTATACTCACTTGATCTTAAGGTACTCTTTTTTCCTACGATTAGCAGCATTTTTTCCTACCGCGGTTTTTGCTACCTAACTAGGTTTTAATAAAGCACCCATCCTGGGCTGATCATACTCTTGTGAGCTCTTCTACTTGCGTCCAAAAGACGTATAGTTTTGACTTAATGCAACTTCTCACTTTTCTCCTTAGTCTATGGGTTTTTCTCCCACCTTGGGTTTTACTATAACGAGGTTTTGTGAGTTTTACTTTTTTATGCATTCTTCCTTTGATCTAAGACTCGTATTCACTCATTGTGCCAACGACTTCATCAACTGTACTTACTTCATCGCTGAAGATCTAATGCGCCATTTACTTGAGTATTTACACTCAAGGGAGAGTGTTGCAGTCCTATTAGATTAGGAATGTGATTGTGTAAATCCTAGTAGATCTAGGAATATCTCTTATATTCCTATTAGGAGTTGATTACCCATTAAGAATTGTAATTCTGAAAGGGTAAGGATTTTACCTATCCTACTATTATAAATAAAGACACAATGGGGTGGAATAGAACACACCTCACAATTATACATCTCTTTCTTCTCTCTATTACTGCCGCACCTTCCTTCTCTCTCTGACCTCCATAATTGTTCAATAAATTATGCCTACAACAACTATCTATTTTTTTGTTTTTTCTTTTGTTTCTTTTTATATTTATTCAAATTTTATGTTGTGTGGGGAATGCACGAATTTATGTTCAATAATTTCGGTATGGTCAATTAAGTACGTTATATAGTTTAGGTCCAATAGATAGGTACGGTCAATTTGTTACGATTTGTATTTTTTCTATTTTAGTTCACTAGGTCTGATAAATTAGGTATGTTATATAGTTTAGGTCTGATCAATCTTGTACGGTCAATTAAGTTGTGACTTCACATTCCATTTTGTCTACATACAAAATTGTTCTTTTCACTTATCTCAGGATTAATTTTTAATTTATTGAATCCAAAACTATAAAAACAAAAAAGAATGCATTGAGAATATAGGTACACTATATTGTTCTACATGCATAATTGTTCATTTAGGTACTGTCAATTAGGTTCTATCCATTCGGTATAGTCAGTTAGGTACTTTATAGTGTAGGTCTGATCAATTCGGTATGGTCAATTAGGTTGTGATTTCACATTCCATTTTCTCTATTTGTATTGTTTTGCATTTATCACTTAATTTACCGTCAATTAGGCATCTAAAACATAATGGAGATTTTTTTTTTAACTTAATATTTTCTAATTGTCGAATATTAACACATAATGGAGATTTATAATCAAATCCATTGGCATATATGGTATAGTCTTATTGGATAATGGGTCCTGCATATGTTCCAGATGGCGACTTAGATCTATAAAAAAATTCATCGGCACATGTAGCATAGTCTTATTGAATGGTGGATCTCACATATGTTTCAAGGAGGAGAGAGAGTACACAAGACAAAGTTGAACTTCAGGGGTCAAGATTAAACTCGAGTTTCATGGAATAAAGTGAGATCAAAATCTAGTTTCAAATAGCGTAGCTAAAAATAAGCCTATGACATTACAATTTTACCCATCCTCATCAGCAACTTTAACGGCTATTTGACAAAAAAAAACAGAAACATGGGAATGTTGAGTTTCAATGAGTAAAATAGTGACTTTTGAATTACAGAAGACAAAACGAGAGCAAAATCAAGTTATAGAGAGCGTAGCTAAAAATAAGCCTGTTTACATCACTCCAAAGTTTACTACAGCCGGATTTCCTCACCGAGAGCTTTGGGTGCAACAAGGCATACAACCCTTCGTGCCTATCTCCCACCTTGCTTCACACATCACGTGACGAGAGACATGAGCACAAAGGTAAATGTACATTGATGCACTAAGTTTTTAGTCTCCTTTGAGGCTACCTTTGTTCTGTTACAATTAATCAATCGAAGTTGATGCAATCAAAGGATGTCAAAAATCCTCTCAATCGAAGTTGATGCAAACAAATAGTGCCAAAAATCCTCTTACTTCAAATTAAGGGAGGAGTCGAGACATACGGAGAAACTATCAAAGCCGGAAATGGACATTACTCGAGAATGGAGCAAAAGAGAGTGTAGTCTAACATACAAAACACCAGCAAGATGCAGCTGCTCCGGTTTGACAAGACCACAAGACTAGAAGTTAATTACAATTTGAGTTTCAGTTATGTTAGTTGCTTGTATTTATAAACAAACGCTGTCTCTCCGTCTGATTAATTATTCGATGAGTAAAAACTTTCCGCTTCATTTTCATTCGAGGAGTAATACTCATGCTTCGCGCTCTCTGCAGACTTGTCAATTTCTTTGATAAGGTGCCAAGTACAAGTTCCATGGTTCGTTTCAGCATATCATCTCGACTGCAGAAGGTAATATACGGAACTTCCTTGGCAGGAATCCTAAATGTTCGCCATCAGATTGAACATAAATGTTGCCACTGCCTGAAATGTCTTCCACCTCAATAGAATGCACACTGCAAAAAGAACGAAAATACATAAATGAGATCCAAGGACCAATCGCTACATGTAATGGCTGCGGATGAATTAACTCTCGGGCAACCAATTCAAATCATTTGAATCGTGATGTTATGCATACTGATGTGATGAGTGCAGTTGGTTACAAATAAAGAAACAAAGGAGAAATAGGTATGCACGTCTGTTTGTGTAACGCAACTCCACCTGGTAAGACATACCTTCTTGACGATACATTTTTCACTGTTAGATGTGTCCCATTGTAGAGCTTATGTAGCTTCAGAATAAAGTCATACCACTTGAAGTCCTGAAGAATCACAACCTGCGAAGAAAGTTTATAAAAAAAGATCAAATGTACTGGCAAAGACACTGCAATTATAATGTTTCGTTTTTAAGAAAAAAAATTATTGCAAATAATTAGGAAGGTTATGTGCAGAAAAACAAATCCACCTCAAAACTGCCACTGCGAGGGTCAGCATTTGGTGTAATTTTCATACCACCACCAAAGTATTTTGCGTTTCCAACACAAAGGGCTGTTACTTGAGAGTACACTTCCCACTCCCCTTCATTGACCTAAACTAAAAACATTCTTATTAAGCAAAAGCAATGGTACAAGAGGGAAAATAGCATGCATGTGACATACAGGCTGTTAGTGGTCAATCTTACAAATATTGACCTTGATTTTAAGGTCCTGATTACGGTGCCCAACAAAGGCTTTTAAAGAACCAATAACGTAGCATAAGTTTCCAAATCTCTTGAAACTAGAAGCATGGTATCCTGCTTTTGCACTCCTGCATCATATCCCCAAAAAATTGGCCATACAACTTTCTAAGATCAGAATGTGCCTTTGTTGAAGCTAAATTGACAAAATTTCTAAGTTAAACTTACAAATGAATGTCAGCAACATTAACAAAGTAATGAGGTTCTCCATCTTCTCCACTAATAACACCAACATCTATCCATGATCTCTGCCCTGCAGAGTACGATTAGAAATATAAATGACAAAGTAAATGCAAATACAAAAAGAGTAGAACAAAAAAAAAGCCTAAGAAATCAAGAGAGAGAGAGAGAGAGAGAGAGAGAGAGAACCTTTGGCAATGCGGTCAATGGCTTCACAAGGATCATTTTTCCTGATAAATAACAGACACTCAACAATCTAAAAGAAGTATACAAAAAAACTCGGAGAAAATGATAACTGATTGAAACGCATGAACTAACCAGCCAAATGATCTGGCAAAATCTGACCCTGTCCCCAAAGGAATGAGCTGTGGAATGCAAAAAATAAATTACATCTTCCCTTCAGAAATCCAAAACATCCAAAGTCCAAACCAGGCAGTAAAGGGATCAACTGAACATGTCACCGATGCAATAACTGAAGTTTCCTTTACATACACAATAAACAGTTGGAAATTGAAATTACTGGATTCTCGTAGTAATCACTTACACCGAGTGCAGTTGAACGGGTGGCATCCCTATCATAATTAGTAACAGGTTTTCCTGCCCAAAAGAATCCATTAACAACCTGCTTATCACAAGCCAACGTCGACGAGTGAGAATATTTATCAGATACTTTTAGATCAGTAACACTGCTCAATACTGACGGTTATTAATACCAAGCATTCGCTTAGAAATTCTTTAAAACAAGGGTTCATTGAAGCCTTTGTCTGATGACAAAAGATTTGGTCACGTGAGCAAACCAAAATGACTCATCATAAAGATCATAAACAATAAAAAAAACAATAGTCAATTGCATAATATGAAGACCCAACCCATGTTTCTGTTTTTTTTTTTTTGGGTTGGGGGGGGGGGGGGGTGGGGGGGCCGCGGAGGTGAGGGGAATCGACACGATTGTGCGATGAAATTTACCTCATGCAGAGTTCCATCTCCTCCCACCACAATTACAGCATCAGCTCCTTCCCGTATAGCCTGCATACCATAAGAAACCATTTTAAACCAATCTTCCCTAAGGAAACTAGATTTATGTCAAGTTCAAATAATGACAGTACAAAATCCCACCTCTCTTGTTATGTCAATCGCATGAGAAGGACCTGATGTCAAAGATTCACATATCTGCCGATAAGAAGAGAAAGTAAAATTAGACAAGTTCAACATGTGTGTTTCAATGGGGAAATAAAACAGATACAACACGGACTTCAAATAAATAATTGGATAAGAGTGATCTGTTCAATTGCATACACAAGCGTGGGGAAGACAGACAGAGAGGAGATCACCAAATCCATGCAAGCCTTCAATTCAATGGTTCTACATTTTTACAAATTTACACAAGCGTAGGGAAGACAGACAGAGAGGAGATCACCAAATCCACTGCAAGCCTTTAATTCAATGGTTCTACATTTTTACAAATTTACACAAGCGTGGTGAATACTAATTGCTGAAGTGATTGGTTAAAACTTGCGGTTTACAGCAAGACCTAAAAATTGAAACAAAAAGCAAAGAAATTCCAAACCGCAGAGCACTTGAGACAAACACTGAAAACGATTCCCAGGTATAACAGTGAAAACAATAACATGGTATATTGCTTTACAAAAGAGCATGAATTTCATGGATATACATATGATCTAAGATTTCAACCAAAAAAAACATATGATCTAAGATAACGTAGGATTTCCAATTGTCTTGCCAAGCAAGATTAATTAATCCAAAAGATTAATACAAGCAACGCAAGTACAACCAAAATTAACATAAATTAGTGGGTTTCAATCTCCAACCTCTAACGAATTGTGAAACCAAAATTGGATAATTGGGTAAAAAACCAAAGAGAGGAAAATTGGGTAAGAAACTCACATTGCAATCAGCGCCAAGGCGAGACCTTAGATACGGAAGCAGTTTCTTCCACTCCGTCCCTGTCCTCCCATTCGCACCTGCTCCAATTTCCCATTTCAATAACCCACAATAATCATAAAAACACACCCACTAAACTTACAAAAACACAGAAACAGAGAGAGAGAGAGAGAGAGAGAGAGACCGCTGGGATTGACGACGAAAACGAGGTCGCGGCGGCGAGAGGAGGAAGACCCATTTCGCAGAATGGAGCGGTCAGCGCACAGATCAGGAGCTTTGGGGAGCTCGGCTCTCACAGCCCATGATGTCGCCATTGAAAATCTCACTCCTCCTACTGCTATTCCACCACCGCCTCCGAATGCTATCAGATTAATGCCCATATCTTTTCTTTTTTAAGCTTCGGTTTTGGTTCTGTCGGTTATCCGATTTGCCTAACTTTGCAGAGGAAATCAGGGTTTTAACTGGTTAATCAGATTTCTCACCTCACTAATGCCTGGTTTGGTATTGCTGTGATGATAAACAGCTGTGAAATAAAGTAACGGAGTGTTTGTTAAATTTTTTTGTAAAAGTATTTTTGAAAAGAAAAAAAACAGTATTATAATGTTTGGTAAACTTTTATGTAAAACATATGTAAAAAAAAATCGGTCTTTTAAAGTTTGGTTTTGCAGTTTCTTGTTCTTGGCTTTTTTTCACCCAAAACTATGAAAAAAAAGCTGAAGCTGAATATTTACTAAACACAAAAAATAACTCCCTGCTTTTTTTTATACCAGCTTTTTTCAGAATCACGTCAGTACCAAATCAGGCTTAATATAAGATCCTACATTTACAAGTAAAAACAGAATATCAATGAGTCCATAGTACTGACTCGACAGACCAAACTCTTATACCACTATTCAAAACTTAACCGAGCCTTATCTAGTTTTTTAAGTGATTCCCATTAACATTATTAGTTGTCGGACTATTAAAGTAAAATAATCGCTGGGTTGGCAAAATAATAAGAATTTATAATACTAAACACAAAATCATTCTGATGGGAATCAACGTCATTATCTAATTTGTTGGTAGACGACACCTTCTGTTTATTTCTTGATCCATATATTTGATTAGGATTTAGTGATACGTTAAACTTGGAATCTTTGATCACAATTATTGTATAAATCGATAGCGACATGAATTATACTTTTCACCATTAATTTTATTCATCCTTATTAAAACAAATTATCAAACAATTAGTTCGTTTTAATCAATGAGCGACTAGTGATTTACAGCTGCATAATTTACACAAGAAGAACTAAGATCATTTTCATTGAACATACAGTAAAACGGTTGGTGGTTTTAACTTGGCAAAATTACAAAACAGCATCAAAATGTCATCCTCTCCAACCTCCAAACTTTCACCGTCGTCCTCTTCCACCCTTCGAACTGAAATGGTGAGACTTGAGCTTCTTCTTGCGCACCGCTGATGCAGGGCCGGTCTCTCTGAACGGCATTCCCATCTGAGCCAAAAGCGTCTGAGCTTCTTTATCTGTTTTGGCAGTTGTTCTGATGCACACATCCATTCCCCTGCCCTTGCCAAGATCAAAGCGGATCTCTGGGAACACACTCTGTTCCTTAACCCCAAGGGCATAATTTCCGTTTCCATCAAAACTATTCGGGTTTAGACCTTGGAAATCCCTTGTCCTAGGAAGACCCAAGTTAATGAGACGATCAAGGAATGCGTACATCACCTACAAAATCGAACAGTAAGCGTAGTGCATGAGATTGGATGCATTTGGGATGTATCAGAGAAACAGACGTATTTTCAAAACTATTGGCATAGGAAATACTGGCTCAGAATTTTTCGAGGACAGATAAGACATTATGGTGCATGCGTCTTCAATCAATACTAACAATGCAATATTAAATGTTTTGAGCGGACGGAAGAAGAAAAGATTCGCCCACATAACAGTTCTTGAGTACCATTTTGTAAGAGGAAAGAATTTTGCTTCTCATCAAACTATTTCTTTCTGTTGCAACAACTTATTATTTCTCATCCTCACCATCACCGATGCAGAGTTGCTACAAACACCAAAATTGACTCAGCACACAAATCATGGCTGCTCTTGCAGAAACCACTAACCACCCTCACCATCGAACATCAATTTACCAAACAACTTACAAATTTGGTCGCCGTTGCCAACTTGCCACCACGACTGCAGTCTAACAACTATACCAGCACATCCTTATTGATCATACTACCTCATCAGGATATAATTCCACTGTAAATAAAGGCACTCTTTGCCTATGATCAGACCTTATAGACCAATCTACCACATCATTAATGATACGTTTTACGCACTAAATTGTTATTGAGCATTATTGATATGATACCAAACTAAGAAGGAAAAAAAGATATGACCATTGTGTCACCATCATATAACCTACAGAACTTCCAGAAAGGCGCCGCATAATTTGAAGTGTTATCTTAAATGGTGATTAATGAACATTTTAAGTATTGAAATGGAGATGATAAGAAACATGAAGAGTATACAATAGACATGCTCAAGAGCAATAAAAAGAAACAGTCTTGTTAGTATCTATGCAGAAGATAAGATTCACTTTTAGGGGTGAAAAGCAAACTCACATTTCCTCTGAGTGTGACAGCAATCCCAAGTGGCTGGCCTTCCCTGATCTTGAAGGTAGCAAGGGAAACCTTTGCTCGTGTCTTGATGGGTCTCTGCCCTGTAATGAGTGCTAAGTCATTCATTGCCGCTTCCAATCCCTTAGCATTCTGTTGAGCATCTCCAATACCGCAGTTCACCACAATCTTCTCAATCTTTGGAACCTACCCAAGTTCCCAGGTGCAGAAACAAAAGCAAGATAACACTCCATTAAACTGCTGAACCACATGGCGGAATAGCAAAACTACCGAAAGCAAAATGGACAAGAATATCAACAAAATAGTATTTCCATTGCTTACAAGGATAATGCATCCCGGAAATCTCCGGACAAGGCAAAGAAGAATGTATCTTACACCCAACCCAATTGACCAGTATAGATAATACAAATCTTCAGGGAACAATGCAATGGGGGTTGAATTATCAAATTCAACACGAAATTCTCCACTTTCAGAAGGTATTAACACAAAAAATTAAGTCTTTATGATTGAGAAAATTGTATCATAACACCAAAATTGAACCACATTGTCACTGTCTGCTCTCAAAGTTAATTTCAGTAAAAGGAAATTCACTGCAGCTAAATCCAAAGTTTGATTGCTTACCCAAAACGAATCAAGTGCTGCTAAAATTAGAGGTATTAATTCATTTTCCCACCAAAACAAGCAAACCCCATTTCATTATCACAAAACAATGCCCAGAAAAATAAAAATTAGCAAAATTAATAAACAAAAAAATTATTTAGAAATAAAATTGCGGGTTTTTTTTGACCTGGTGGATGTTGGTGTAGGAGAATTCTTCTTTGAGATTAGGGATGATTCTTTCGAGGTAAGCGGTTTTGAGCCGGCTGACCTTCTCTGCCTCGGACTTCTCCACCAGCACCACCTCCGCGGCCTTAACGGGCACCACCACAGTCCTCGGTTTTCCGTGCGACTGTCGAAAAGGCGGAGGTGAAACCGCAACTGGGAATTGGCCGTGAAACGACGACGTGGCAGAGCGGAAGAGCGAAGGGCAGGCCATTGTTGTGTCTAAATTTTCCGGTATCCGTTTGTTTTTTGAGCTGAGGGGGAAGGGGTTTAGGGAGGGAGTTGGTGGAAGGGGCTCGTATTTGAACTTATTTACGATAATGGCTGTGAGAGAAGGTTGAGGTTTTTTTTTGTAAATTTGGCTAATAATGGGGGTAATTGTTGGACATAGCTCTCTGTGAATGAAATAGGATAAGGTAACGCGCTTTAGGAGAAAATGACGCATTATCTGTCTAACCAAGAGTAAGAGCTAGTTTGGCATTGGTATGTTTCTTTAAAAAATTGATTTTGTTGTATTGTGAGAATAAACAAATTTAAAATAAAGTTGTTGAATTTTTTGTAAAAAGTGTTAAGTGTTTGATAAATTTTTATATAAAAATGTTGTTATATGTTTTCTTTTTGGTCGGATGGTTGTGAATATGTTAAACGACTAAAAATGATATGATATTGGATATGATGTAATAATTGTCAAAAAGAATAATGTAACGACAAAGATTGTAATTTTTTCCAATATACTGGGCATACTTGTCGTTTGAAAATTTCATTAAATGGGCATTGTTCGTTATGCTTTGAAAAAAAAAAGCATTTTTGAGGAAAAAAAAAACATTTTTGAGGAAGAAAAAAACATTTTTTTTTAGAAGCATGGTAGTTTCTGCTTTTTTTATGTTTTTCTACTTTCATTAATAGCATTTAAAAAAAAACACTTTTTTTTTGTTTTACCAAACATATTTAATGTTTCAAAATTTTTTAATAAACTACTTTTTCTAGAAGCACCACAATCTCAAACCAACCCCAACACAATTGTGTTGCTTGAATTTTTTAGCATAAATAAGTAAAAATTGGGGAAGATCCTACTACTTTTACCATAAGGCCAACTTCAACGGTTGGAGTTAAAACTTAAACTTTTAGCCCATAAAATTTAAGTTCTATTTCAGAAACAGCTCTTTTCCTCTAACGATTTTGACTTAAAATTTTAGCTCGAGATTATTAAAAGATGATTTATTTTAGTTTTATTTTCAGTGACATTTTTAAAAATAAAATTTATGTAGCTTAACGATAGGGAGTACCTTAGTATACAATCGTGCACAGTAATGGTAGTCCTTATTACATCTAAGGTCAACTTAGATTCACCAAACCAAGGTTCATCTCGTGTAGTGATTGTGGACTTATAGAAGGATATTGACTAGACATTTGATGTATCAGACTCGGCTCAATCTTTCATAGCATGCATTCTCATCTGTGTCGCAATTGGATTCAATAAGCTACGTGCCCAGTGCACCCTTCAGTCCCCCAAACTGACTCTACTCGTTGCAACCTTCCAACCGCTCAACAACCTATAACCTAAAATATTTAAATTCTGATAAATAATGAAAAATCACTAAACTTACCTCATTCTGACACATATGCACCACATGAAAGAACATTGAAAACCACACAACCTACCCCCATTCTTAAACACAAATACATGGGTGGATAGAAGGAAAAAAAAAAAACGAAAAATTGTATGTCAAAAGTGAATTTTTGTAGATGTTTGAACAAATACATAGGTATTTATAGAGTTTTTGGGTGAATTTTGATTTAAATAAAAAAATTTAATTATTTTTGATGTTGGATTTAATGTATTTATAAATTTGATTTTTTATAAGAAAAATAATTTGAAATTGGATCGTTGGTTGATTCAACGGTCCAACTTGCCTCATTTTCTATGGCTAAATTGGGCCCAAAAATAAGTTTTAACCCAAAGTTCATTTTAGCCTAATGACTGGAGAAATTTTGGGGTTTTTAAAACTCAAATGTTGAGTTTTAACCCAACCATTGGATTGGTTTAAGAAATGGTAAAATAACAAAACACACAAAAAAAAGTATCTTTTTTATTTATATTTTGGGTTTTCATGTATGTCGTACTTTAACTTGTGAAATTTCGTCCCCAGATTTCACTATTTGATTTCTGTAATTCGTATTTTCCCGATTTTATTTTTATATTCGTGAATTTTAGAGGTTCTGACTAGTGATTTAAGTTCGACTTTTCTTCACCAACCATTAAAAATTCATAGCCCTTTCGAGACCATACTAAAACTCGATCCCATGAACGCGTACGCGAAAACCATTCATGAAACATATTTTGAACGAAGGAAATATAAGCAAGCAAAGGCAAAAGCATTTTCTTCATTTGGACTTCTATATATAGAAGACTCCATCAAAATTGGAGCAGCCTTGCCAGTTTTTGAAACTTTGACCCTTAAGCTGGCTCGTGAGTTGACCCAAATACCTTCCTTGACTCGCAACTTTGACTCGTTTTCTGGGCAAATTTTCCAATGTCGATTCCAGTGAATTTCGACGACGACGAACTTACCCACCACCACGAATTAGACTCAGCATTGCCCTAACATCTTTTTCACCCAAGAATCTTTTTGGTTGACCACTTGTCACGGCGAAGCAACGCTCAGGTTTTTTTTCAAAATTTTTACGTCGATGATCTCATATCTCTGTTCACCTCAACACTAATCACCGCCGCCAGTTGACTCATTGTGTCCCCAACTACAAAACCCAAGCTTCACATTGGACGTTGAAGCTCCAACGAGTCCATGGCGAGGTACACAATTTTCTGACGATCCAACGATAGAGCCGTCTCTGAGATTTCGGGGGCCCTGTTCGAAATTTATAAAAGGGCCCCTTTTTAAGATATATTTTTTTCAAAGTATGACAATATATTGGTACTAGAAAATAATAACTTAAATCAAGAACAACATTTAGGACTCACTGATTGTAAGTTTACAAGTGTCATTAAACAAGAAAAAAGAGTTACAAACATAACATTCACCAAATAATAAAAAACAATTCAATCTTAAGCAATCAAAGAAAAAAAAAAAAAGCTTCAAAAACTCTAACTTTAGAGTTTCACTTGAATATATAGCATTATTATATAATTAATAAAATTGAAAAGAAAATAGTTTTTTAAGGTGTTGTTATTAGCACTCCTAATATCTCATTGTGCACTCCAAATTTTTATATTTAGAAAGAAAAAATAATTTACACTTATAAAAGTGCACTATAAGATTTTAAAGTGCTAATAAAAGTATTTTTTTTAATATATCACATTATTACATATAAATATAAGATACCAAAAAATTTGGGGGCCCTTCAAATTTGGGGGCCCTGTGCGATTGCACCTTTTGCTCCCCTTCAACGCTGCCTCGACGACTTCCTAATGAAATTTGATTACCTTAAGCCATTTTCTAACTTCGGCTTATGTATAGAAATTGTCTTAACTCTTCACGAGCTTCAATTTGATATATTATGGGTCGATTTTGGTATTGGTTAGATTCCGGGGAGTTATGGCCAGCCACTATAGTGTGCGGCAGCACGTGGCCAAATGACCCTACGTTGTTTGCCTAAGCTAATTGCGATGCCTTGAATCCATTTTCATGTCCATTTGATGAGATTCAATCATTTGAACTTAGTTTTGTAAATGATTGCCGCTTGACCTTTGTAAGATGGGAAGATACAACTGTTGGATCGTTATTGAAATTATAATATGTTGTTGTGAAAGTAATGTTATGCCCTTAGGAACTCTTGGATTGAAAATCCGATGTGCGGATCTTCTAAATTGGATTGATTAGAATTGTTGACCTCAGCAGGGCCACTTTGGTTCAGGGTTAACTTTTGGTCAACATGTCCCAAATCATTCTTGAATGTTACGGCTTGTATGATCTAGAATTACATAATTTATCGAGTTCTAAGATGAAACTTGTGTTTTGTTCTAGGCGTTGATCGTGTATGAGCGCTTCTATCCTTGTGTTAGGGTGCTATAGCGCGAACTCTAGGTGAGTGACTTTAATATATGTGGTATAATAGTACCCATGAAATTCTCATGCTAGGATACTTAGTGGATATGGCATGGATTTACAAAATGTGTTTTCTACTAAATTGTTGCTTTTAAATTCAATCATCGATCTATTTTACGAAATGTGTTTTGATATGCATATTTGAAATGATAGTGAAACAAGAGGGCTAGTATAGCACTGATAATGCAATGTTATGAGAGATGTAACATTGAACTTGTATCTTATGGATCCATTGAGTTGGTCTAGAATCCTATTTATATTTGGTTCCATTGAGTTGGTCTGGAACTAGATTCCTAGAATTCTATTTGGTTCCATTGCATTGGATTAGAACCTTGTAACATTTGGATTCCATTGATTTGGTTTGGAATCTCACTTCCGATTCGATTTTGTTGAGTTGGTTTGGAACCCTATATTCCTTTAGATTCCATTGAGTTAGTCTAGAACCCCACTTCCTATTCAATTTCATTAAGTTGGTCCAGGACCCTATATTCTATTAGATTCCATTGAGTCGATCGAGAATCCCACTTCCTATTCGGTTTTGTTGAGTTAGTCTACCCTATATCTTATGGATTCCATTAAGTTGGTATGGAATCCCATCTCCTAATTCCATTGAGTTGGTCTGGAACTAGATCCCTACAATTGTTAGGTTCCTTTGAGTTAGACTAGAACGAGGAATCTTAAGAATTACAGGCTTTGGCCAAATTGTGTCACTCTATCTCTAGTTTTCAGCGTATTTATGAACTAGAGATTTAAGGACCTTTGTGAATCAATTTAGAAAAGTTGATGGATGTCTATGTGATTCCTTTGGAACTTAGCGAGTTTTGGTTATAATTTTATAAAGTATGATGTATGAATAATGTTTCTAAACTTAGAGTTGCATACGTTGAATTATTGCTATCACATATGTTGAATTATTGTCACGCACACGAGCTTCGCAGCTTATATGAATTTTTCTTTGCACAGTGCACCTTCCCACGATGTAGATGACGATTATGCAGGTGACAAGGTTTAGTAGGCACGAGGTGCTTTTTGGGTAGTAGTGCATAGATCAGAGTGCTTGAAGTGACTGGGTTACGCTTGTACCTTTCTTTGCATTTCTTTTGGATTATCATTTTTTTTAGCCTATGGGCATGGTACCCTAACGATGGTTATGTGCATTTTGTTGTACAGTTGTTAAATATATTTGTAGGAGAGACCCCATTAGCATATTTTTCTTTGTTTGAGTTTTAGTATTCCTTTGTATCTTGTTCGTTTTCCTCACACTCAACATTATAGTGTCTCGTGTCGATTCTGAACATATCTGGGAATCAGGCGTGACACAACTCTCTTAGGCATACGATTATATAATCAGCATAATAAGATTCAAAATGCAGATGCTCACCACTCTCCTAGGAATGACGAGGAGATGTTGAATCAAATGATGAAGTGGATGATGAATGGGTAACACCGAAGTGCTTCTACTAATGTAATGTATGATTGCTTTTTTTGTTTTTGGAATCAAGTCATGGTGTGTTTTTATTTACTTTAAGTTGTTTTTTTACTAATGTAAAGGTGGATTGGTTAAATTTACTTTAATTAATAATATTATTTTGACCTTGGATTTAAATGTGAGTCGTTGGATCTTTTTTTTACTGCTAAAATTGATTAACATAGGTTTGAGCCATTGGATTTAAAAATAAAAGAACCGTTGAAAAAATCATTCCAAATTGATCGTTCGGGCAAGGGTAAAAAAATCTGCCCTACACAATAAAAACCCGTTGGAAATTGATGGGGGTAAGGTGCACCATGTTGGATCATAACCCAGGAATGCACTCTAGCCATTGGATTCCAACAGCACAACAATCCCATCCGTAGAAAGGTTGCTACTGGTGCACTCGCCTGTAGACGATCATTTTGCCTTGCACAGGGTTTGCCTTTCCCCCTCATCACGTGCTATAGCAACAAGCTGGGTCTATGCCGCCGCTTGCTTTTCTTATCCATCAGTGGTGGGTTGCAGTCTCAGATTCCTATCCCCAAACCCAAAATCCTAAAATTATGACTCTATCCATCATGGGTGGGTTGCAGTCTCAGATTCCCATCTCCAAACCAAAATCCCAAAATTTTGACTCTAAAATACACCATTTGGAGAGATATTGGGCCGAATTTGGATTTTTTTTGTTTCCCACTACCCCTTGGAGACAACCTAAGGTTTCTGGTGAAAGAAGACTAATGTGCAAAGGGTTTGGGTGTACTCTTTACTCTTATTTGTGGAGCATGTGCTCGGCACATGATAACCTTAACGAAAAAATGGATGAAAAATTTAGAAATCTAACATCAAATTGATAATCGGCCATTAATAAAAATTCAAGGAATATTCAATTAAAATAAAGGCTTATTGGTAAATTGAGAACGAATTACAAATTCAAGACCTAAATTGGCAAACACCTCTCTACTATTATTTTCTCCTTCAGCGATATGAAAGGTGAAGGTAGTCTTGTCCCTCTCTCTCTCTGGCTCTCTCTCTCCAAGCAACTCTCTCGCGCTCTGAAATCCTCTCACTAATACTCTCTCTCTAAACATACCGATTGAAAGGAGAACAAGGCAGTGAAGATCAAACCCCCAAATTCCAGTCAATCTCTCGCTCTACATCTCTTTTCATTTGGATCCCCGTAGCTCCTCCGTGCAAGAATACCTTAGTTTTTGGAAGATCTTAAAAAATATTAAAGAATGGAACCCTAGGCTCGTCGTCCCGTTCGATGCTTATTCCGGAGCCCTTTCATCCAAAATTTGAGGATTTTTTGATGAATTTTTGTTGAAATTTACACGGTATTCGAGTTTTGATTTGCAGAAAAAGGTTGACATACTTGTATTTGTTTATGTATATGTGTGTGCTTTGGACAAATTTTTTTAGGGAGAGTATTGGGGGTGGGTTTTTGAAATATTTGGTGTTTTGGGTTTTTTGTTGTAGATTGAGCTGGATGGATCACAGAATGGATTTGCTTTGTTTTTAGGGTCTAGTGGGAAGTGGGTTAGATGTTTTTGCTGGTTCTGTATTGCTGGGGAGTTGCGAAATTCGATTTCGGATATGGTAACAGGTGATGGGTGAGCTGGGGTTACTGATTTTCTTGCACTGAATTGTGCAACTTCCTGTATCCAGTTGACTTTTCGGGTTAGAATCGGTGTACCAATTAGTGGAAGTTCTTGTGTTGGTTTCGATGTTGATGTGGTTTCTGGGCTTTGCCTTCTGAGCTTGGAGTAGTGACTATTGAATTGAAGAGTGGTTTTATTTTTATTTTCTTTATTTTTTACCGTTGAGAGGTTACATTGATTAGGTCCTAGTTCGGATATACTATTTGCATCGACGGTTGGCAGAATGAGCTTAGAGAATGAAGAACCACACTTCCCAGATCAGCCTACTGAAACGAATCACGAAATGCAAAAGTAAAAGATTTGTTTTTGGCATTTTTGATTTTGCTAGTAGATGTAGTTTCTGTTTTATATGTATTCATGCATATTTCATTGCTTTGCTATTGGTGAACTATAACAAATTTTTTCCTCCGGTGATCCAGGAAGTCGAAAATATCATATAGGAGAGAATTCCTACTGTCGTTTAGTGAATTAGATACTTGCAAGAAACTACCAAGTGGGTTCGACCAGTCAATAATAAGGTTAGATGCCTATTTTGAATGGTCTGATTGCTGTATCTATAGCTTCTGTTTCTGAAGGTAGTTTTGTGCTTTAGATGCCCGATTTAGATGGTTGTTTTACTCATCTACCATGTTAGGCCTGATATTTTCGTGTTTCCCTTTTCAAATCAGTGAATTCGAGGATGCTTTCAAAGATCGACAGAGAACTAGTGGTTTGTCAGCTTATAGTTTCAGGCGAAACGAGTATGGTTCATCTCCACCTACTAGAGGGGATGTAGCTGGTTATTCACGGCCAATCCATGGAAGGTGGGAAGGTCGTTCAACTGGACGGAGTGACCGGGATAGTGACTCGCAATCTGATAGGGATTCTGGTACGGTTTTGTTAATCTGTTGATATGCTTTTCTCTGTAGAACTGCAAATGTAGCTGAATATGCATGTTTCAGAAAAAAGTTTCACATGATTGTTAGTTCCTTGTGGTAGAGGTTGGCAGCATTCTTTACAGCGATTTCAGTAGTCTTCCATAAGTAAGTGCTAAGCAGGACTGTTGCCTTGCATCTTCTTTACATCTTTTCAATATGCAGTCATTTGACAGAAGAAACTTACGAATTTTTTAGCCTTTACCCAGACCTCTACCTACCCTCTCATCATTGACCAAGCAATGCAAATTACATTTCAATTTTCCAAAGGACTGGGCTAAGATTGATTATGCTTTACATTCGCAGGAGGAAAAGATATATTTACGGGGTTATGTGAAAGTACTTAGGGATTGTGAGGGATGTCCAGATTATGCTTTTACGGATGTCTGGATTATTCATTTATGGATGTCCAAATTATGCTGTTTAGGAGAGCCATTGGAGTTTAGATCTGAGACAAATACTTTGTGGAGAAGCTGATATTTGTTGTGAGGAGATTGAAGGATCTACTATTAAAAACATTGATTAGCATATAGAATTGGTGACTGGTGCCCCTGTGGTGATTGTTAAAATCCTACCATTGTTCATTTTCTGGCTTGAAACTATTAAGAAATTAATTTCTGATTGAAAAACTTTTTGTCCTTGTTCTGTGTCAGGTTCCTTTCTGTGGCAATATCATCTTACATTCTACCCTGCTATACTGTTTCTCTTGATAAATTACTCTCTGAAGTATTGTACTTTCTGTCCTGTTGAATTACTGTAACACTATCAGATTCCGGAAGGCATTTTGGGAACCAGTCTTGGCGGCCATTGCAGGTTCCTGAGCATGATGGACTACTCGGAAGTGGCTCCTTTCCTAGACCAGCTGGGTTTACTGCAGGGATATCAGCACCAAAAGTTCGATCTAACGAACCGTACCAGTTGAATAGAACTAATGAGCCATATCACCCTCCCCGTCCTTACAAGGTATACCTTGTGCTTATTTGTGGCGTTGACATGTTTTGTAAACAATTATCCGAAGCTTAATGCCTGCAGTAGTGGATTTAAGTATCCGCAACTTTTAAAATGGAGCAGCATAAGTTTATTTTTCGTTTCCTTTTTGATAAGATATTTTTCTCTATCTCAAAGAATAGTATAATGTGAATCTAAAGCATTCCAATTATCTCTTTCCTCGTATCCTGTAATTTGTAGGCAGCACCTCACTCACGGAGGGATACTGACTTGTTTAATGATGAAACGTTTGGTTCATCTGAGTTGACAAGTGAGGAAAGAGCAGAAGAGGAAAGAAAGAGAAGGGGTACTTGATGAAATGTTTTTTACTTTTTTTCTTCTATCTTTTATTTGTCTTTCATATGTATCTAGTTTGGGTCAGTATATTTCTGCTCAGTTAAATCCAAGTTTGAAAGTTGATGGATTTCCTCCCAGCTTCATTTGAATTAATGAGGAAAGAACAGCACAAAGCACTTCAAGAGCAGAAGCTGAAGCCAGAGAAGAATAAAGGTGAATTTGACTTTGCTACGCTGGTGGATGATTCCAAAGATGAGAGGAGACATAGAAGCAGTGAAGTAGAGGAGCCTCTCATACCACCAGCTGCAAATACTGATTCTGAAAAATCTAGTTTTCTTTTGCAAACTGCTGCACCCAGACCTCTTGTACCCCCAGGTTTTGCTACCACAGTTTTGGAAAGAAATCTTGGACCAAAATCCTTGAGCGATACCCGTGAAGTTGAGGTAACCATAGTTCATTTCACTAACCGTTGATGAAGATGCTGAATTCAAGGATTATAATGGTTTGAATTCCTAATGTATTATATAGGTCATGTTATCTATTGAATCAAAATGATAAAAATCTTGCTTGAAGTGCTAAGAGGTTATATTGTGGAAGGCTGGTTTTTCATGTGAAGAAATTTGCATTCACTTGTATGTGATGCCGGGTTAATATTTACAACATTTTTCAATGTTGTGTGATTTGATTTTTCTTATCTCTGCAACAGATAGTTTACACTGCCACTAAAATACCATGTAGTAGTGCCAACCCAAGCTTGAACCTTCCTATTTCTCATGCTCTATCAATTGCGTTCTGCTATTAATGGAATACATCTTTTCCTTCTTTTTGATAGGTTGGGAGTTCTGGACTTGAGGAAAATATCGTGCGTGCCAAAACTAAACCTGTTTTAAATGGGACTTCTGATAACCAAGTGGAGAAACAATCAACTGAACAAATGATCTTGAGCAAGCAACAACATGGAAGTGCAAGTATTGATGTCCCAGTTGATGGCATGAGTGAGAAGAATCAAAATTTGTCACCACCTCAAGGTGCCTTGAATAAGATAATTGGCATTGAGAGTCAACTCTATAACATAGCTAATACATCACAACCTGTAGAAGTCTCCAGAAATAGTGAAGTAATTGACCTTAATGCTGAAAAGGTGATGAGGACTAAGATTGTTGGTGAATCCAATCAAGGTCCTCCTGCGTCAATACTGGAAAAGCTTTTTACCAGTGCTGTAGCATTAAATGGAGTTGGCTCCTCTAATATCACTGAGGTAACTGTGGTGTCCAATGTCATTCTTTTACTATATAGATTTTTGATAAATTCTTGCAAAGATTATTACTCAGGACCGTTAGGTTCCCCAGGGTCTTGATTCGTTCTAATTTTTATAACCATAAAGCCATACAGTGAATGGATTCCCCTCTATCTTGGCTTCTTTTATCTGTGCCTGCATATGCCATGCTATTACCATACTGAGACCTTCTGCCGATAGGGTCCAATGTCAGTGTGAAAACAAATTTCTTTGCTTCAGCTTTAATCTGAAGCATCCATCTACATATTTCCCCTTAAAATCAATTTTAACTGGAATTCATGGTTTATATGTTTCAAATGTTTGTGTTTTTCTTCTCGTTTAAATGAAAAACAAAGTCATTAGTTTGAATTATGAATCTCATGTATTTCTTTTGTGCTTTTATAGCATCAAGATAGTAAAGATGATGAGACACGAAGCTCTGACACTGCCCATTCTTCCAAATTTGCTCGTTGGTTTCATGAAGGTCTGCTGCTGTTGATATCTTGGAGTTAAAGTGCTTTCCAACTTAAATTGTTTATGCTTGGAACTGGAAATTACATTTAAGTTCTAATTGGTTCTATCTTACTGCAGAAAGGAAACCCAGTGATGATTTCTCATCTGGAAGGCAAAATGACTTACTTTCATTGATCGTTAGTGGTGAAAAAGGCGGATCCAGCATTACTGCGGGGAAGATACGTGATCACAGGTTTCCTAGTTTTTCTTCTCAAAACTCTGAACCTGCGGACAGGGTTATGAATTCAGATGTATCTCCTACAGTTGGTAGCTCTGAGCAATTGTCCAAAAGTAATAAACCAGAGGCAGTTTCGACAGTCCTTACATGTGAAGACCTTGAACAATCAATTCTGTCTGGAATTAGTGAAAATGGTCTGACCTTGCTGCCCCCTGTTCAAAAGTGGAGTCCTCCTGGGGCTGGTGGAAAGCCTGAGCAGCTGAAAGCTAATGTTGATAATAATGCATCCCAGCACTTACTTTCACTTTTGCAGAAGGGAACAGGCTTGAAAGATATGGAACCATCCTATAATCAAGAAACAATGTATTTTGAAAAATTACACGACACTGAAGGAGCGACTATTGGCACTGCAGTCCGCATTTCAAAAAATGAAATTTCTGAAAATGTTTCTGATGCAGGGAAGAACCTGACTCTTGAAATACTGTTTGGAACTGCTTTTATGAAAGATTTACAAACAGTTGGAGCGCCAGTTTCTGTTAAGAGGGCCCCAATTGGATCTGCAAGAGTAGATCCTATGCAGCCTCACAGCGTGCCTTTTCCTGTGACAGATAACAGTCTAATTCCTCCTGCAATTCAAATTGGACCCAACTCAACCAGTCATAGTATTAGTGACTTAACAGCAAATCGGAGGAAGCAAACAAAATCAGATATGATCGAAGAGCAGTGGCTAGGTCTCAATAATCCTCATATTGAACTAGGTTCATCATCATCACAGGTTGGAACCGACTTGGGTTCTAAGATTGGGGCCTTTGAGGGGCATCCTGATTTTCGACTTCCTGAGGAGGATGGCTTGATTGCACCCAGCGAACCGTTGAACATCCAAAATTTTATGTCTTCCGGGAATCAAGTGAAAAGCAAATTGTTCTCCTCCCCGAACACACAGGTTGACATTGTTGAAAAGTTGGAAGCTATGAATTCTTCTTTTAAAGATGAAGGAAGCATGGGAAGCCAAGAAGTTCCTCCTTTTCTTCGTGGTCGTGGTCCTTATGATATGAGAGAACGTGATAATCCATATCAGAACCTGCAACCACCTTCTCAACAGCTCCATCATCCTCAATTGAATCATGTGGGTCCCCTGTTCCACCCGTTAGACTCTCATCCTGGCAACATCAACTCTCAAATGAGTTTTTTGGGGCCAAAAGGCATTTTGCGAAGTGATCCGCCTCCAAATCATCAATTTCATGCAAATATGCTTCGTCCACCTTTTCATCATTCTAACACTGGGCAATCTGGGTTTGATGCTCACACCCATCACCCTATGATGCAACAGATGCGTATGCAAGGCAACTTTCCTCCGCCTCACCTGCTACAAGGATTATCCAGTTCTCCACCCCAGCATCCTTATCCCAATCTGGGTGCAACTCTGCCTGCTCAACCAGTCAGTCAGGCTTTTCTGCAAGAATTGAACCCAATGCAAGGTTTCCCCTTTGGTCCCCAGAAACCCAACTTTGGTGGTCATGGAATGCCATTGCCTGGTAAGGCACTTCTCGTTGCATCTTTTGTTGGTGCCTTTGGTTGATTTCATTGTGTCTTGCCTGATATTCTGTTTTTAATGCGTTCACGTAGTGGCTTGTGCAACTTTTGCTTGTATTTTCCTTAGAAATTACTCTGAGTGATTAAATCTCCCAAAGTTGCCGGCAACAATTGTAGCTCTTTGGTGTTCCACTTTCTTCAACTTCCAAAATTTGCTTGATTATTTTTTCTTGTTTTCGTTTCTATTTAGTTCAACATTAAGTCGAAATCTTCTACCCCTCATAAACATTGGCTGAACTATAAATGGTATATTGTGATGTTGGAAATTTCATGAAGTACACTGACTTCCTTTTAATTCAGCGCCTGACGCTGCCGGTGGAAGCAACCACCATCCAGAGGCGCTCCAAAGGCTTATTGAGATGGAACTACGGTCAAACCCGAAACAGATTCATCAGTTTCCTGCTAGCGGACACACTCAAGGGACGCATGGACACGAACTTGACATGGGTTTCGGGTATAGATAGGCCACTCGGATGTCTTGAAACTTGTGTATATTCAATGTACTCAGATTTCAGAGTCCTCTTGAGTGTGTTTAATATTTTGCTTCTTTGAAATGGGATGTGTTGAGGGCAGGTGGTGTAATTAATGCATTTTTCATGACCTTATGTTTCTCATATTCTTATTTGATTTCCGAAAGCCACAAGGAAGAGCATAAGGGTGACAAACTGATATGTCTGGGTCTTAGGTTGTTGTATGCCACTATTGCAACACGAATTGGATAAAGAAAATAAATGGACTTCTAGGGAGAGACTAAATTGTTCGTAGATTGTAGAAACGCTTTATGGAAAAGCAACTTCAAGAAGCACTTAAATTTTGGGTTAACGAATGCTAGTTACTGAAGCAGTCCCGAACCTAATATGAAAATTCAGCTACCCAAACATACTAGCAATATCTAAAACTCACGATTCCGTCTCCACACTAACGTTCATCTCGTCAGAAAACGAAATAGAACGGCAAAAATGAATAAAAACACTAGTGCTTCTTCCAGGAAGCAATTTTGGTGTTTTTTTAGGATTCATTTGCATATTTACTAAGAATTGGTTTTAAAAACATTTTCATCAAAAACGTTTTCAGCTATTTTAAAATCACCTCCAAACAAGCTTATAATCTAAATTCAGACCGGACTTAACCGGAGAAGCTTCAACGTCAAAAAGACCAGAGCTATGAACTTTCTGCATAATGTTTATTGTTTCAGACGGAGACGGGGAAACTACTTACAGTAGCAGGTTTCCCTTGTTTGGCACCATTTTGAGGTCCTACTTTTATTCCAGTTATGTAAAACCGAAAAACAACAATTGCAACGAAATAGAGTCCACAATCAACGATAACATCCTCGAAACACTATACAAGACGGCCTCCGGAACAAACATTGGAGTTGGCTGTATCATTCCACATTCCTTCATGACGAAATTACAAGTATGGTCTGCACACAAAACTGGGTTTGGTCCACTCACAAGCTACATGTATTCAAAACCGTGTATTCTACATATATACAAAGCCACTCTGCGCTATTAACTGTTAGCGAACTTGGTCGTTCAACACTCTGCCCTGAAACCCGTAGTTAAAAGAGTCAGCATGGGTCGGATATTCGCTGTAAATATTGAGGAGTTTAAAATTTCCATTTTACCTTCATCTCTCAAGAAGATAGGATGGGATTCGCTGATTTGACAATGCGAGACAAGTTGAAATTGCCATTGGATTTAGTTTTGACTGAGCTGGCGCCATGCGATTCAATTACCTTTCTCTGTGTAGATAAAGAGAACCGTTAGTTGCAAATACACCATATTATATAGTCGAAGCTAGAAAAGAGACCAATACTAGAGAGCGAAAAGTATTGACGTGATGTGTTCTAGAAGGCTCACAGACACAAGCAAAGCACAGAGAAGTTCGTCTGAAGTCTGAAATTAAAGAACTTTTCAGATGGATAGAGCGTGCATGCTCAAACTATTGGATCTTCTTATGCAACAAAATTGATGTTATAGTTTCCTATAATCATTTTACAAGTTCAGCTGAGTAGAGTAGATCATGGACTTGAGTGGCAACCACTGCCTGCCAATGAGAATAGGGTATAATTTGCAACAGTTCAATCACGGACAAAAGATATGAACTTCCGAGCGATGCCATGTGCACAAGATATGAACATGCCATTTTTTTTTTCAACAAACGATATTATCTATACTAAAGGGGAGGGGGTGGGGTTAGCCTTACAATGGGCTAGCAATAATGTGGTTCAAGTTCGCCTTTGGCGAAAATCGAACTTAAGACCTCTCACTTATAAGTAAAGAAGAATACCACTAGACCGTAGTACTAAGTGGCTGAACATGCCATTCTTAAACTGCTTGAACCTCTCTCTATCAGACACATCGGTTCCTCAGACTCTGGAGCTCCATGATGAAATAATACCAATCAACTATTACCATGTAGAGCCACCACACACTAACCTTTTTGTGAGTTAAGTTGACATACGACTATATTTTCGAAGTAGACTGTTATTTTATTCTTAATGCAACGATGAAAGTTCAGTTTACAGCTGTCAAACAAAAATCAAAATGTTATTGGGAGGTGCGAAGGTTTGGAAATTTTTTAAGACCGTAGAAGACAAACAATTAGAGTGTTGCCTCTTTGTGCAAATGTGCAAACAATTGGATCTTAGAAGTTGAGACGGCGAATACTTACATGGTCCTCAAACTCAGGCCTTGTCAAATTAATGGAGAGGTTCCGCATCAGCAAAAATGCCTGGGAAGGAGCAAAATAGAACACGTCAGTAAACTTAGCGGTTAGAGCAAGA